CCCTCGAAACCCACCTTTTCTTCGGTTCCATAAGTCGAAATCAACGCCTGCTCGACACTCGCAGCCAGGGTCCTTTAGAGCTGGATGAGAAGAGGATTTCATGTCACCCATCAACTCAACCCTCACCTTGGATCCCCTTGGGCAGGAAGAGTCAGACCTGTCCTAACTACCAGACCTTTAGAGGAATTGTAATATTTTCACGTTGAAATGTTATTTGTGGTCAGGCTGAAAAGGTCAGATTTTGCTTAATCTCGCTTTGTAGTACACTCATTCTCGTAAATTGTTCTGCATCGTCCCGGCTCAAAAACCAGCCTCCTTCCGCACACGGAGTCCACATTGGCCATCATCCCTCGAAGGCAGTGGACACACGCATAAACAGATGAACGGACGGACAAATGAAGTGAAAGAGAGAAGGCGTGATAGATGGTCACTTGGTTAACCAAAAGACTGAAAGCTGGGCCCCACGTTGGATACGTGTGCAGCTGAAGGCAACAAGCTAAGCTGTCACAAGTCAGGACGTAGACTGCTCCACTTCGCCTCCTCACAGCTTCCGGCCTCCTCCATCCTGGCGCCATAACCACTTGCAGTCCCAGCATCATCATCATTATCACCATCATCATCATCATCACCAGCAGCAGCAGCAGCACAGTAGCCACAATAGGGAGGAGCCCCGGCCAGGCCGGTATCTGCTATGAGGTGACGTGAAGCGCGAGACGAGTTCGCCAGACGGTGGTGCAGATAGGCATCTCTCAGGCCCAGTGGACGCTGGGAGAAAATTAAATGTCTAAAATTATGACAACTTAGCAAGTTGAAAATCAGACTTGACGAAAATAAGTTATTCAGTTGGCCGAAGGTTAAACTTGTTAGGGATAGAAGGCTACTGGACGATAGTCTATTCTAGCACCATATTTATTTTATTTATATTTATATATATCAGGGAATTATTCACCAATAAACTTGGGAGTAAGCAGCAGATTGCCAAAGGTACAGCAGGTTTGTGTATCGTTCAATCTCATATATCTGTTGTAGTAGTCGAAAACATCCTTAAATTATATATATACGTATATAATAATATTAATTATTAATTTTATGATTCTCTCGACCCCTACAACAGATTGATCATATGGAAAGATACGCAGTCTCCTTGCTCTAAGTTGCCAAGTTGATTGGCAGAAGAGCATCAATGCCTCTCG